CCATTCCAAAAGTAAGAGTGTGAGCATATTCAGATCAGCTTATTCCACAAAACCATCTGGAACCTGAAGGTTTGTAGACATACGGAGCAAGCATATCAACCTGGTGAGAAGACTAAGATAAGCCCTAAGAGAAGAAGTTAGCACATTGGTGATTTCTTGCTTCTCAACCTGTGTTCGCTCAAAGCTCACCTTTCCATAAACAGTTATGAAGGATACACCGTGTTCAGGCAAACATAACCTAAAATTATCTAGACCTGGGGACATCAAACTACACCCCCTGGGCCAAATTTAGCCCTCTATGTGGTTTTGTAAGTAAAGTTTTATTGGAAAACAGCCACACACAAATGTGTACGTATTGTCTACAGCTGCTTTCAACTACAACTGCAAAGTTGAATAGTTGTTCCAGAGACCTTCTGGCCCACAAATCCTAAAACAGTTACTATCTAGCCCTATGTAGAAGCAGGTTGCTGGCCTCTGGGACTATATTTAAAGATAATAGCAACAGCAGTAGAAAACATTTACTGAGCACTTATTCTGTACCATAGTTCCCTGCTAAAGGAGTGGCCTGTCTTTTGAAAATTATTCACAATCGGTTTGTTCAGACGAGAAAATTTGTCTGGTACAAAGTAAGTCTTAATAATAACTCTTGCATTTACAGGCATAGCTATATCCATTTTATAAAATAAGGAAACTGAGGTACAAAAAGATTTAGGGGTTGTCCCAGTTCATAAGTAGGTAGCAAAATGAAGATTCTGATCAGGGTGTTTTGCACCTGCCCTTTCCCAGCAATAGTTTGGAAATTACTTGCAACATTCCAGAACACATTTATTTTTAAACAAGGAATCCCTGCAGTTGCCAAAGGGAATTTATATTAAAAAAAAAAACCGGGACAAGCTTATTAACAATATTTAATCCAAATCACACTGGGTAAGAACAACTGATGTTGGTTACTGGAGAGTTTTGATTTCTCCTCCCTCTGTGTGAAGATCTCCTGTTGGGGTCAGAAGGGCAACTGCAGAGATGAGAAATACAAAGAAGAGCTTCTAAAGAAAGTAAAAACATCTTTCATCTACCTCTCACCCAAGGACTGTCCTGCTCTCTCAAACTACACTTCTTAGTTCACAGTATTTGGAAAATTTTAATTGACTTCAGGTTATAAGAATAGTTTTTAAATCTTTTTATATCTTCTTATAGCCTGAAGATGTAAAAAGATTTAAAAACTATTCTTAGATTGGAGGGAAAACAAGATGCTGCATGGCAATGGAATTATGGCTAGATATGAGAGAGAATCTGCTCCAAATAGTATCATGAACAGAGCAAATTTTCGTGGGCATTAGGAGTGCCAACTAACTGGTGGCCATTTCCACAGTTTAGTACCATATGATGTCATCTTTTCTCAAAGGCCAACTTGTTTCTGGAATATAGAAAACTGCTCTTAAGAACCTTAATATTTTTTCTTTATACAAAGCTGTCTGATATCAGAATAAAGATCAAAACTTTCCTAGGAAAATTCTTATTTAATTCATAAACTAGAGAGAGTAAAGCAACAGCTGAAGCCAAGAGTTATTGCACAGACCAAACATTCCCACTCCCTGTTCCCAAGCACCACACCACCACCACAAGTTACTGGAAGAGGCTGGCCCTCTTGGGACCAACAGAACCTTCCTTGCAGAGATGTCCAGACTTGCCTCGATTCCTTATTCTGTTATAAATCTCTTCCTCTTGAGCAGCCTCTGAATCACTGACTATCTTCCCTGCTGAGCTGGATGTTGGTTTCCCCAGTTCCCCCTTGCTCTGTTCCCCATCCACATCTGTGCTAGGAGAGGCTGACCTCTCTACATGAACTGCATTAACCAGACTTCCTTGCTCCCTGGCCTCTGGGTGGATCCCACCACTGAGAGGCATCAGCAAGAGAGAGCAGGAGGAGACAGAGGCCAGAGTATTTATTTCCCCAGCTTCCTCTCTACCAAGCCAGTTTGTCAACAACTGCAATCCTCCACCAAAGGCAGCCCTCCCTACTGCAACGCTCTTGCTGAGACCTGGTAATGGCTCCTTCTCTTGCCCGCTAAGGCCTACAGGTAGCACCTTCCTTTCTGTCCCTCCTCACTGTGGCATCCCTGGGTGTCTATAGATAGACTATATATATATATATATATATATATATATACCTTGGCCTATCCACACCTTTGTGAATTATCCTTCATTAACTCTTTTCTGTTACTACTTTTGAATATGCCATCCATTTCCTGCCAAGACACTGATTGGTACAGTGTCTTTGTCCTTCCTGGTACCTGATCTTTCATGAGGAACTCCACTCTTCCTGCAGTCTTCTCAGATGAAAGCACTTCTTACACCACACTCTAAATACTAAGGAACCTTGTAGTTTTTAAGATGCACCCTGTCACCTCCCCATCATGATCCATTTTCCTATCCTTCTGGGGTTTTTTTGTTTGTTTGTTTGTTTTTTGTTTTTTGTTTTTTTTTGAGACAGAGTCTCACTCTGTTGCCCTGGCTAGAGTGAGTGCCATGGCGTCAGCCTAGCTCACAGCAACCTCAAACTCCTGGGCTCAAGCAATCCTCCTCCCTCAGCCTCCAGAGTAGCTGGGACTACAGGCATGTGCCACCATGCCCGGCTAATTTTTTCTATATGTATTACTTGGCCAATTAATTTCTTCCTATTTATAGTAGAGACGGGGTCTCGCTCTTGCTCAGGCTGGTTTCGAACTCCTGACCTCGAGCAATCCTCCCGCCTCAGCCTCCCAGAGTGCTAGGATTACAGGTGTGAGCCACTGCGCCCGGCCTGGTTTTTTTTTTTTATTTCAGAATATTATAGGGGTACAAACTTTTCAAAGAAAATTAAATATTTAGGAACATATTTAATGAAGGAGGTGAGAGACCTATATAGGGAGAACTATGAAACACTGAGAAAAGAAATTGTAGAAGATATAAACAGATGGAAAACCCTACCATGCTCATGGATTGGCAGAATCAATACTGTTAAAATGTCCATACTACCTAAAGTGATCTACAGAATTAATACAATCCCTATAGAAATACCATCATCATTCTTTACAGATCTAGAAAAAAAAATAATTCTATGCTTCATGTGGAACCAGAGAACACCTTGTATAGCCAAAGCAATCTTAAGCAAAAAGAACAAATTGGAAGGCAGCAGTCTAGAAGCCAGACTTCAGGCTTTCCTACAAGGCTATAGCAACCAAAGCAGCATGGTCCTATATTTCTCTAAAGCACAGCCCAGCTGGACAGACTGCCTATGCCTGTCTTAGGCTCTGTCATTTTATAATCACTGAGATTGAATCTAGCCTCAGAGAAGTCCTTTTCATTCCATGTGCCCCCATCAATTCAGGCAAACTCAGAGCTTATACAGACAATTCATCCAACAGGCAGCCATGAAGTTCCCAGAGATCCATGATTTGTGCCAACTTTAACTGCTCACTGTCTTAGTATTCCCTTCCAAGACCATATTTTATATTTTGTCACCAGCCAAAGCTGTTCTCCTCTGAAAGTTCAATATTCAACATTAACTTTCTATGCACCGTTCAGTTCCATTATTCCAACTTGCTTGTGACTTAAAGGGACTTCTAGTCCCTTGACCCTGTGTTTTTCACTCCACCCATTACCTGCCCCATTCTCTCTTCTGGATCCATTTCCTTCACCATCCATTCTACACACTTCGTGCATCATTCTGACCACTCCTTGCCAGCACCCTCTTTCTCACCCCTCACTTGTCAGTCTCCCACCCAAACAAATGCCTAACTTGCCTCAATTTGCCCGTGCTCACTCTCCTTATAGGCAGGCTATGAAACGCAACTGAGAAAACCCTCATGCCAGCATGAAGGGTGCCACTGCATTTATTCTTTAACCACAGCGGGTGTTTGAAAACACTCAACTATACTTTAATATGATGTTGGTCAGATTCTTTTTCCAATCTTCTCAGAGGCTAATTCAAACCTTTGCCATTCTTCTCTATGTCTTGTCTTAAAAGTCACAGAAAAAGTAGAGCTACCAGATATGAACAAACTCACACCACCCTCCTCCAAATCTATAGACATGTAACTTTGAGACCATCCTGACTTCATCCTTCCTCCCACTGTGGGAGTGCTGAACTTCCTCCAGTCTAACAATACCCTTTCCACCTGCAGCCCCTTTGGGATTCTGTCATCAGTTATGCCTTTTTCCTGCTCTCCATTAGCTTGTCTGTTTAGTTCATGAATCCACTGTGGTCCCTCAAACCTGGACTCCTTCCAGCTATTACCCTTCAAAGTCAAACTACTTGAGTCTCCAGTTTCTCTGCTTTCTCATGCCTCATTCACATGTCTGTCCACTGCACTACAGTGAACATACTCTCAGTAAGTCATTGAGAGCCTAATTGTCAACTCGACAGTCTTTAGTCCCTAGTTAACTCAACTCCCTGATTAATCTAATCAATTATCTGACATAACTTTGATCAAGCCATGTCAGTACACTGTAATAAGCATGCAGATTCTTATTCCAATTTTAAGTTGTCAGTTCATCAGGGTATGGCAGATATAACACAAGCTTTCAATATCAGACAAAGAAGTGTCTGCATAAGAGCTCAATCTTTTCATTGTTTTGTGACTTGGAGATTTTGGACCTCCCTGAAGTTCAATTTTATCAGTGAACATCAGGATGATTATAGCAACTCACCCAAACACTTGACATTCAAGTACTTAGTACATAGTGATTGCTCAATAATGTTTATTTCCTTCCCCTTTACTGGATGAAATTTATTTTTGTACATTTTTATCTGGGCATTTCTTCACAAATATTACAAAAGTCTCTCCCACTACCAAGCTATTTCCTCCATGAATTGACAGCCCAGTGATGGCTTCTCTAGTCCAGGACCTCTCAACAACTTTTAGGTTTTCTTTTTAGAGAGTAACATCTACTGTCTTCTTTTCTTGGCTAAAACATGCAAAAGTGATGAGATCAATAGAAGAGATAAAAAATTGATTTACCTTGAATCTTGACCTGTTGCCACCAGTTGCTTGGAAATGAAACTATGGACGCTTTCTCTTGCACCTGGGAAAACCAGTCCCTCCCTTGCCCCATGCCTCCTCCCTCTTACCTGTCTTCCTCAGACATCTGGTCCACCCTCTTAGTGCTAATTGGATAGCTTGGGATCACTGCTGCAGGCACACAGCTGAATTGGCTCAGCTCACTGTCAATCCTTACTCTGGCCCTGCCTTTTCTCAAGTTTACACTCTTGTTGCCTAGGAAATCCCAGTGTCTATGAAAGCCCAAGCTGTTTGCACAGGGAGAGAAGCCAAAGGTGTTTGCACAGGGAGAGAAGCCAAAGGGAAGTTTAGCAGGCAATTGTTTGCCATTGTTTGCTCTGAGGAGCAGGTAGATATAATTATAGATGATTCAAATCTTTCCCCTCTCTGTCTCTCTGTCTCTGTCTCTCTGTCTCTGTCTCTCTCTCTCTCTCTCTCTCTCTCTCTCTCTCTCACACACACACACACACACACACACACACACAGATGTATGTGCACAATTCTGCTTGTGACATGATCCTGGCTGTGTGCACCATCCTTGCAGCATGGGAACTCACAGAACTGGATAGATGCCAGGCACCCAGCTCTGCAGAATCCCAGGCAAATTTTTCTGTGGATCCGGCAAGGAGTTGAGCCCTTTATTATTTCTGCAGGGAGCATATGTAGCTGTATCTTCTTGTTTGAATTGTTTCAAGATATGTTTTACAACACCAAAATTAAGCAATCAGAACAATGGCTCTTCCAGGGCAACCCTATGTCTCGAACATTTTCTTCTCAAAGGGTTAACTCACCAGATATCATTTAAGTATCTGAAACTGTTAAGGAGGAACTGAAATCTCCATCTGAGATTACAAAAGCAAATATAAGTGCACAAGCATTGGAATGTGAAATGTTTTCTGAAACCCATCTACTAGAGAGACAGTTTGCTGTAGTAATTTAAGAAAGGCAATAAAAAGTAAAACACAAATGAAGCAAACTGACAATAAACAGGGAAGGGGAGCTATGGACAACATGACAGAGCCACCATACAAGCCCTCAATGGTCTGCCTTCAGGTTTTACCAAAGAAAGTAAAACCAAACAATAACTATTGTGTGTTTAAGCCAAGCTTTTGCTTGTTTCTGTTACTAGCAGCTGATGTAATTCTCAAGGGTTCACCACACATAGGGATATTCTCTGCCAGACCTGGTTCAGAAAACTGGATCTGAATTTGTGGCATTGGTTATCTGATAGGATTAATTATATTTTAAAGCACTAATGATTCTTTTGAGTGGTAAAGAGAGCACTGATAGTCCATGGTGTGGCATAGCAAAAGGATACACAAAATATCGCTATGTTTATAAAGGGCAATGTTTATTGCTATGTTTATAAAGTCCAATGTTTATAAAGGGCAAGGTTATGGATGGCCATGGTACCTTAGGATATTTTAGTCAAACCAGTGAATATAGGAAGGATGACTGGCTGCTCCTAACTATGCTGGGCAGAGTGAAGAAAGAAAAGGATGTGCTCAGGGCTTCAAATTCCAAATTCAAGCTCCACATAATTGATCTGAAAGTTCCTATGTCTTCTCTGAAGAATATACTTACTTACTACTCTTGCCAGGCTGAGGTTTCAGAAAAGCAAATCCAGAATTTTATCCTGATTGTGGCTGAATTGCAATGCAAATTGAATTCCCAACCAGGTAAGGTGTCTTCTGCTAAACTGAGGGAATTGATTGGGAAGTAATGAGATTTGGAAATTTGGACAATTGGATGGAAACATATAGACAGATCCTGATGAAGCAGAGGACATTGAACCTCTAAATTCTTCTGAACTTTCTTTGTTAATAGAAGAAATCCTTCTATCCTTATCTGAGAAGCTTCATCCTGAAACTCTCATTTACTTCTGGTGGATCTGTAAAATAGTACAGCCACTTCAGGAAATGGTTTGGCAGTTTCTTATAAAGTTAAATATGCACCTACCATGTGACCCAGCCACTGTACACTTAGCTATTTTGTCAAGAGAATAGAAAGTAAATGTTTATACAAAGACTTGTATACAAATATTCATATCAAATTTATTCATAATGTGCAATATCCACAGGAAATTTATTTGTACTAATCCCAAACTGGAAACAACTCTAATGTCCTTCAACAGACAGCTGGATAAGTACACTGTGGTAATCCTTACAATAGAGCACTATTACACAATAAATACAAATAATTATTCATATATACAAAATGAATGTATCTCAAAATAATCATACTGAGGAAAAGAGAACATAACTTATGATCATATATATATAAACTCTAGAAGGTGCAAACTAGCAAATAGTGACATACAGTGATTAACTAGTACTAGGGGCTAAAAGAGGAGGCCAGGAGGAGGGATTAAGAAGGACACTAGAAATCAGTTGGGCATTATGAGTATATTCATTATCCTGACAATGTTAATAGACTAACAGATATATATATATGTATGTATATATATATATATATCCAAACAAATCAAATTGTATCTTTTAAACATGTGTGCACTTTATTATATACCAGATTTTATTTGATGAAGTATTTTTTTGAAAAAATTAAGGTAAGGAACTTCAATCTGTGACCATAAGGAAGTGACAAGAACAAAATTTACCTCTCTGCTTTAAACAACTAAACAAGCCAGACAAAATATATGCAAAATGTGTTTTAGACATTGTACACCAGATAGTGCAGGACATTGAAATTGGCTGCAGAGAATTTCCAGGGTTTAGCTTATGGCAAGGCACCCAAATCTAGCTCAGCCATCTCCCTGAGTGGAGGAGAATGAGTTCAGATTTGGGGAAGGACAGCACAGACGGAATTTACAAGGCAAATGCCAGAGAACAGAAGGCTACACAGATAGACATTTCTAGAACTAGAGTCCTCAGCTGAGAGCAGTTCAATGTATACATGTGAGGAAACTGTACGAGGCCAGGAATGACCACCAGAAATGATCAGGTAGAAAAACCCTGATCTCTCTAAGCCCCTACTCTTTCTTGACTCAGTTCTTCATTTTTAGTGCAGATGTAAATATAACTTCTCCATTCAGCAGGATACAGTGCCATTTTGACCATCATCTAAGGCTTTAGTTTTCTGGATTCTCTGTCCATGGGTTCTGATATTCAGAAGAAAGATGATTCTATTTTATTAAATTCATAAGTCTCAACAACACGAAACTGACTTCCCCTTTTTGACAATAGGCAAAGATACTGTACATTTAACCCCCAGGACTAAAATGACCACCATTTATAGAGAAAGAGATCAGATCAATAGTCCAATCAAAAGTCTGAAATTCAGCTTATAGGCTTGCTCATATTAGCTGCTGATCTGCCTTCCTGCCCACTCATCCAAAGAAGGCAGAACTGACCCTGCTGGAGGGGGTGAAGGATTTTCTAGTCAGAAGGTTTCTGTAGTCAGGAACCCATGTGAATGTTTGCAGCCAGCCCCTGAGGATCACTGATTTTGGCCTGTCCCCCAAATCATAAAGACCTGTTTTTTGGGGAATGTCCATCTTGTAGATTGCCAAAGTAGGCTGTTTTAGGGAAAGGAAAATATCCAGAATTTAAGACAATTATATTCTCTCTCACTTGTAATTTCAGTTGTGGGTGGGAGCAATACTTTATTTAAGTATTAGAAGGCTTTGCTGGGGGGGCGGAGCAAGATGGCGGACGAATAACACCGCCAGACAGAGGGTCTCTGCAGAAAAGACCGATTCTAGCAGAAACTAGAGGAAAGAAGCAAGAAGACGAGCATACAGCGGACAAGGGCCGGAAGGAGGGGTACCTGAGACCCTGGGAGACTCCAAGGGAGGAGGCTGCGGAGGAGAACTGGAGGCTGAGACCACTGGAGCAGCCCGGAGACCAGCGGCAAGGGTAGGTGGATCTGCTGTTTCCCCTCCCCTGCATTCGGGACTGCTGGTGCTGCGGTGCTCACCCACGGTGAAGACCGCGACCATCAGCCCAG